TGAGTTTTTTTATTAATCTTTGCGCGCACTGCCTATATAGATTATAATATGTTGTATCATATATAATATTGTAAATTGAGATAAATTATTAATTGTACTTTTAGAAGAGTTTATGATAATTTTGCATATAAATTTTCGCACATGAAGATGGTTTATTCAAAGACCCTGGCCTTCTATTGTGGAACATGCTGAGCCTTGATTAAGTTATTTTGCTACTTTTATAATGTATATAATGGTAAATTGAATAAGAACAATCGGGTATAATATTTATGCTAAATATTGTACTTCATACTATTTAAGCTTATGGTAAATAATCAAGTTAAGAAAGAAACTATCTGTGTGTTTGCGAAAGACTTTTCTCTTTTAAATATTATCTTTTCATGATTTAGTATTAATCATATTTGACTATTTATAATCAATGATTGTATTGACAATTTTCGAGATTCATGATGTTAATTAATTTTGTTGTATTTTTTTGTGACAAATTGATAAAATTATTTATTTTTATTAACTTGTAATCCATTCCAAGAAAGAAATATGATATCTCCAGCATTACCATACTTTCAGCAAATTATGTTGTAAATTATACGTTTATAGATTATCAATACAAACATTTTGGCAATTATTTTTTTGGCAATGTATACGGTACCGTTCGTAAGTTCGCGAACAGACCGTTGGCGATGAGAGAAACTTTCCATTGAAATATTACAATTACAGATGTATTTTTTTTCACATCATCAATTAGCACGGAATATAAAACTTTTTCGTCATCTTTACTATACATATATACATATTTATCTTTAAATATTTATCCACATTCACGAACTCACGAATGGTAGTGTATCTTTATTATATTGGTAATCACATAATACCCAACGCGATAATTACAACATGTCTATTCAATAAATGTTTATCAGAATAATTCAATTAAATCCTTAGTGTGAGAATAGCAGTAAAATTGTATAGAACTGACGTAAAAACACTGGCGCTATTTCAGATTATATCAGCGTACGAAATCGCGTGTTGAATCGAGAAATGCGTCTGAAATGTATAATAAAGCATGTACAATACTAGAAACTGTCCCTCTCCCCTTCGCGCTATCTCTTCT